GCTATCACCATATGGGTCCATGGGTATTGGCTTCTGTTGTCCATCAAGGCCTTGATCAATCAAAACTTTAACATAATGCATTTATTAAGATAGAGACCATCCTGTGACATAAATAAATTTGTATTCCTAATTCACTTCAGTAACAAAAATAATAGAATATTATTTTTCTCCTCATACCCACTAGATGTTTAGGACATCTGCAGACATTTGTCTTCCTAGCTTGTGGTGAAGGAGAATATAGTATAGTGTGAGAATAATGTATTTATAACAAGACTTCCTATGGATTCTGAAATTTAGAGTCAAATGATAGGGAAGCATGAGAGCCAATTTATTTGGCAGAAAACACAAATTTATAAATCTGCTATGGTATTTCACCATTCAGTAAAACTAGAATAAGAAAGTTGCTGATCAAAGAACTGAATTTAATAGGTTTAAACTTCTTTCTGGAGTCAACTTCTGGGCTAAATACTCTTATTAATACTCATTTTAGAGGGTGAGAATTAATCAGTGGACATCCTGTTAATAATTTCTATGCATGTGGGAAATATTCCACAGGGAAATTGAATGAAGAAATCCTCTGGAAGATGGGCAGCACACAGTTCAAAATAAGATTACCATTTAATAATGTATGTGACAAATTTTTCACAGAATATTTAATCAAATTACTGAAATACTTTATTCTAATAGCCCCCAAGCAGCAGCCACATTAAATAAGAATTCCAAAATCAATCAATATAATAATCATTCCCAAAACCTATTCTAAAGAGACTCTTAAAAATTCTTTTCTCATGATTACACTACAGCGCTCTTCATGTAAAATGGAGTGTCATAAACCCACAATGGGAAACACATACAAAGACTATCCCTGTCACTTAATTTGTGAATAACTTATGGACATTCCAATAGAGATTTCAGAGGTAGAAAATGTTTCTGCGGATGGAAATAAGAAACCATCAAAAGCTATACCCTCAAATCCATCCTCAACCAATTTTAGAGATGTATGTGTGTGTTTGTGTGGAGCCTAAAGACATGAATGAGAGTGGATACTGACTCAAACAATGAAGCATTCCACTCATAACTCTGCAGTTTGTACAAAGGTAGAACATGCACAGAGTGAGGCCAATCCAGTTTTTCATTTAGATGTTGACTATATTGCAGCTTGTTTTATGAGCAGGATATGGAGGTGATGATTAAAAAAAAAAAAACCTCCCAAGCTATACTCATAGAGATAAATTAAAGGATTTCTAAAAGTTAATTGGAAATGAACAAATAAAAATATTTAAAAAATCCAAAAAAATATAACCCTTTTGTTAGAATGAAGTCTAATCTATAGAGGAAATTCCCCAGAAGGGGGTAATATGTTCTTGAGATGCATTCACCTGGCGTATTGAAATGACCCAGGCAAATGAAAGGAAATGGGAAGGGGAAAAATCACTGATTCTGCATTTCCCTATTGTTGCATCAATCAATTGGGGAAAGGAAAAGGAATGTTTCAAAAATGGTGTGCTTTGAAGGAAATAGGCAGATTTTCTTTTTTAAAACCCTAGCAGTCTCAGAAAACACATATGCAAATATCTTCTAAATTTTTGCAGTTTTCACAGATAATCTTAGTTCATTTCTGATTTAATATGAAGTGGATACTAGATGCTCTATCCATCCTTAAGAAGCACTGTGGAAAAACTGCATGACATTTGTCTATTTACTGATTTATTCACATTCTATTTCAAGAAAATCTGTCACTTATAAATTTATATTTTCTGTTTTATCCTGCAAACTGATTTTCATCAATGTAACCAAATGGTCAGAAAAACACTAAAAAGTATATATTAATATATGAAAAGTACCAAAAAGTGTTACTTAATTGCTAAACTTACTATTATTACAATAAAAAATAAGAGATTAGGCTGCATCTTGCCATCTATATCAAACATGTACACAGAAATAGTTATGAAAAATGCACATTTGGAGGAATGTGCATTGGGGGTAAAATCGGTAGTTGGAATATCAGCAATCTGCAATGTACATATGATACAACATTGCTCATGAAAAGCAAGGAGGATCTGGAGTGGTTAATCCTGAGAGTCAAACATGAAAGTGAAAAATTGGGATTGCATCTTAACATCATGAAAACAAAGAAAATAAGAATGGCAGTGAACATACAGTTCAGAATGCAGATAAACAATGAGACTATTGAAACACTAAAGGAATTCATCTTCTTGGGCTCTAAAATTGACCAAAGTGGTGACTGCAGCCCTGAGATCAGAAGACATATGACACTTGGAAGAACTGCCATGTCTGCCATGAAGAACATCTGGAAGAGTAAAGATGTCACAATCAAATGCAGATTAGCTAATGCAGTATTTTTCCCCAGTTGTTACTTATGGCTGACTTGAACTCGGAAAAAGATAGGAGATAGGAGAAGGGTAGATGCCATTGAACTGAGATGGTGGAGGAGACTTAAATTAGACTTTCCATGGACTGCAAAAATAATAAAGTTGTTAGAGTTTGCAGCAATCCAACCAGCACACAAGTAAACAACTTAGTAGGATTCATTTATATAAGAAACTTTTTTATATACAATACCATAGAGCAGAAGCAGAACAAGAACTCAGAATCCAGAAGTACAGAATCCATAATCACACAAGCTATAGAATCACAGAAGCACTCATCTATATACAGATCAGTGAACCTAAGCCATGCCCAGGCTCCGAGCCATCTTAGTCACCATTGGGTGACCTGCTACCATGTCTATTCCAATTCATGAACCCTTATATACTGACAGAAGTCCTAGACTGAACCTCACGAAAATATCCCATGAACCCAAGATCGCCAAACAGAGGCTGCCATATTTTGGTCATGTCATGTGAGCTGAGTCACTCAAAAAGTCAATCATGTTGGGATTGATCAGTGGAAAAAGGAGAAGGGGCCACCTTAGTACTCATAAAGAATGACACCAGGGTGACCATGGTAGATCTGAAGGAGGCGGTGTGAGACAGAGGGGAGTGCTGATCCATAGAGTGGCTGGGAGTTGAACACAACTGAAAGGCTGATGACATTTTGAGCAATCAAGTAAAATAAAATGTGAACAATAAAAGGCGCATCAATGTTACGCCAATGCAACTGAGTTTGTTTCACAATCACTTTAGTAAAGTTTTGTCAATCATAAGCCTGTCTATCAATTTGGGCTGTAATATTAAAAGCAAGTGGCAATATTATTCATGTACTATATGCATACAAGATCAGAAGACCTCAAATATTTCAAAATTTACTACAGCAAGCTCATCCTTTCATCAGAACTATAACGGCTTAATCATTTTAAAGTCAAATTGGAATAGCTAAAGGAATGTTAGGTATGTTTGATGCCTTGAGCTGATTAAATATTTTAAAAAGATAGAATAAAAATCTGGTTGGAGGAGGAGGAGGAGAACATCATCATCACACAGAGGTTCCAGAAAATTCTATAATACATCAACTTTCTAGTGACTAGATTATTAAAGCAATGATTCTTTTTCTATATTCTGTTTTGATTATATTAAATAATAATAATTCCCCATTACAAATGCAAAATAAAATAATTTTGGGATTACCTGAATCATTGTAGTCAAAAATATTTACAATCAAAACCCACAAACACTTAAAGAACAGTGCAGTAATCTCATTGCCTCCTTGTATTCATTAGTTTTATTGGCACAAACCCTTTTCTACATCCAGGGAAGAATATTAAAGTTAAAATTTCTAGACATCTGACATGTCTAGAAAAAGAATAAGACAATAAATCTTTTGTTTTTATTTTGATTTCAGGACCAAATGCAGAATAATATTTTTGTTGTTATATATATTGTTTTGATCCCCCCCCCCTTTCTTCCTCTCTCTCTCTCTTGGGGAGAAAGAATCATTGAGCCATAGAAAATAAAGGCTGAGACGACATACTCTAGTTCTCTGTTCAGTTTAGTACAAGGCAGTATGAAATAATTTCTTTCTCCTCTTCAGTTTTACCAAACATAAGATCACAACTAGGTATTTCTAAAAAAGAAACTTGCTTTAATTGTTTTCCCACCGGTATGCCCCTGTTATCTTATGTAGCTAGAAAAATGTCTTCAGAATAACTAAATCGTGTTCTTAATCCATATAGCACAATTCTATCTACTTCAACTGGCACAATAAAGAACTCTAAAAACTTTGCTAGTTCTGGAGTCTAACATTGTTTTATTAAAAATGCAAAGGATTGAAGTTGAAACTGAAGTTCAGACATGTCATGTGCTCTACAACCGAGTCATGATTCTCTTTTCACGACATTCATTCATTCACTCAGTTTATATAGCTGCCCATTTCACTTATGTGACTCTAGGCAGCTTACAACAAAATAGATAAAACACATGAAATACATATAAAACACTTAGCAGCCAAACATGATTAAGAATCTATGAGTATAGACAGGGCGTGGCTCTGAGCACATCCAGGGCTCCAGGCTTTGAAAAAAAAAACAACTTTTTAGGACATTACAGAAAGCCAGTAGAAAACAGGGCTAATGTCATCTCAGAGGGATGATGTTCCAAAGGGCAGGGCCCTTTCTGGGTCCTGCCAGCCAACAGTCCTTAACCGATGAGACGTGGAACATGCCCCATCTATTGGGTTGGGTAGAACAAATAGTAACAATGGATATATCATTTTGCTATAGTGAGCTTCAGAAATACATTATGAACATGAAACTCACCAAGTTCTATATATTGAGCTCTATTCACATCAAAGTAATGGCAATTTTGAATCCAATCAAAACAGCTTATTCTTATCAACATAAAGTCATAAATGCTTACAAGACAAGAACAATATTTTGAGTTAATTTTGTCATTTTTGAGCATGGCACAGTTTACCAGCATAGACTGCCCTGCTAATTCATGGAGTATACATTAAAACAATAAAGGAGAGAGAGGAAAATCACTGTTTAAAGTTGATTGCCATAAAACTTTGTTATATAGTAATTCACAGTCAGTTTTACATACCATAAATGCCTGTTGAGATACATGGAAAAGCCTGTAAGACACAAAAAAGATATATATTAGATTTTTTTTTAGAAGTACCTATCACACACAATGATTTAGTACAAGGAAGCTATAGCTGCTTACTATGAATAAATATCCACACTTGTCATCAAGTCTTTATGAAATATATCCCAATCTACTGAAATAAGTAGTCATTGTAGAAATCAGAAAGTCATTGCAATTTTTTTTTCAAAATTGAGGGGGAGCAAAATGAGCTCTCAGCATAGCACTTTAGGAAAAAAAGTTAAACTTTTAATACCTTGCTAAATGTGAAAAATGGGAGGTCTGGAGAATGTGTGCTTTTAATGAAATTGTCTACAATAACTAACAAGCTTTTAGTACAATTACAAAATTATGGATTTGTCAGCCTTTAGATGAAACTCACCTGAAGCCAATATAATTTGCTAAGAAACTACCGTAGTGTTTTCTTTCACAGCATAAACCATTTAGTACTTAATAGGAATACAGTAGCAATGTAGTAGATATATAATTTGATTTTCGGCAATCTTTCTGAGGAGAATTCTTATACTATTTTTTTCCATAGCTATGATTTTGTGAGATGGAGTAGACTGAGATGAAGTGTGTCCCTCTTCAATGATTACTTCTTCTTTTTTCTAGCGTATTCCAGTGGTGGATTGCAGGCGGTACGCCCTGGTACGGGCATACCGGAGCCTGCCCAGCGCACCGGATACCGTTCCAGTATGATGCTCTGGAGGGCACACCCGCCCGCCTGAGCTCCTTACCGGTCTTTTAAGTCTTCAGCACTTCTGCACACGTGCATGGCGCATACACTGTCTGTGCAATGCTCCGCTGAGCAGCTGGAGCCTAGTGGAGGTTCACGGAGGCGCTAAGACACATTTCTAGTTGGTAGGCAGTCTTGGAAGAAGGTGCTACTCTCTGGACATATCCATACCAGCAGAGTCATCCTTCTCTCATCTTCTCTATAATTGGTGCCAAACCAAAATGTTGTCAAATGGTGTCTTTTGTAATGTGGTCAAAAGGGGAAATGCCCGATATCCAACGGAGCATTTGCATTTCAATAGAATGGAGATAACTTTTGGTCCCTGTTGTTGCTGCCCAGCATTCAATGCCATACAGTGCAACAGGGCAGATGGTTGTCTTGCCTTGATGATTTGTTTTGCCTTGATGATTAATTCCTATTAATCACTTCAATGATTACTCAACATGTGTTTATTGCACAATAAAATTAGAAGATAACAGTACCCTTATCAGCCAGGTTCAAAAATGCTTCACATATTAGGAAAAAGTTGGTGGAAAGGAAGAAGGTGTTTGAAAGCTGCTGCCTATGACCAATGACTGGAAGGTTGTGTTAATGGTTTAGATGGTATACCTAGAAGTGATATCTTTCTTCAATGTCATTTTAGTTTTACCCGATGAAGACAACAAAATGTTTTTTCTGTATTTGAGCTGTTCGGCGTTTCCGCGCACATGCACGACACATACAGCGCCTGCGCAATGCTCCACTGAGCAGCTGGAGCATCACGGAGGTGTCGTAATAGGTAAGGACGCATGCTCTCATTGCACATGTGTGCGCTCACTACGCGCATTCATGTGGTTGACATCGGGCCCCATTGCACTGTACCGGTTGCATCGGGATCCAGAACCCACCACTGATTCAAATGCACTAAACATCTGTGTAAACTACCGAGTCAGTTAGAGCATTGAGGATTCCTGGCATTGCATTCTGTTTGGTTTTGTGCTGACCAGTATTGGTAAGATATTAATTTTACACAATTTTACACAATTTATGTTTGCATTTTTAAGATCTGGTTGGATTTTTGTATGCATTACAGATATTAAATGTCTAGGGTATGAATACAAAGAAAGATTAGAAGCCATAGACAACAGCACATGATTTATATTACTTTGTCTCAGGAATACTGTTTATCTGAATCACATTTTTACCTAAACTAAACTTTGTATTCTGTCTAGTACACTTCACATATGGCAATGCTGCAGAAGAAGAAGAAAAAAACCCAAAATGGATTATTATGTTGACAATATAACTGTCTATCTGCACAGTAATTCACTTTGCTTTCTCTCCATATACGTATTTATCATGTTAGCATGGCTCACTGGGACATAAATTAACCAACTACATTTTAGCCAACCATAATGTGCAAGGCTAACCCATGTGGATAGTTTACAGTTTAGTTTGTTGCATGAACCTATAAAACAGGGTAAATCTTATACTCTAAACACACAATAATTAAACTCAACAGCAGAAAAATGGAGGGAAGTCTTCTCCATCCATCATTTTCTCCGTAGCTAAGAAAGATACGATGTTTTCTTCTTCTTACTCTAAAAAATGAAAAAAAAAAAAACCTTTTTCCTTGGAGCATCCTATATTCAAGATGGTGTTTTAATAACAATGCAAATGTCTCTTTTTCCTCTGTGCTCTTCAAAATGTAAGGCTTTTCCTTCACTGTAAACTGTAATTTTGTTGTTTGACATAAGATAGCATAAACCCGTTCTCCATTACAGATTTTGTTTCTGAATCTTATGCATTTTTAAGTGTGGGTTGTTATGTAGCCTAGACACCTTGAAAACCTCACCAAATTTTGAAGAAAATATATATTTAGGGGGGGGGGATTATAGGCTGTCATGCTGAAAAACAGCAAATAGCCTAGGGCAGAGGTAGAGATGACAAATGAAATTCAATATCCTAAAATTCTAAACAAAGACATATTAAACTGAAAACTTTGTTGAGAATCCCATTTGTTATTATGATTTTAGCATCGAGTAAAAAGGATTTGTCACAGTCTAACACTGATTAACATCTTCATAAATTATTTGGATGTGGGAGGTGAAAGTACAGTTTCAAAAAAAAGTACAGATGGCACAGCTAAAGAATGCATCAAACCCATTACAACATGTAAGAATCTACAAGTATACTGACATTTCTAAAAGAGTAAATGTTTTAAAGTCATAAACCAAAATATTTTCCATCACATGGAAAATTAGGATCAATACAAATTAAATGACAGTACAATAATTTAATTTTGCAGGAAAAAAATAAAATAATGCTTTCTCAACTATTCATAAAGACATCGCACATGTGAAAACATCCAATGTTTTGTTTGAATATTATTGGAAAATCTGTAGAATTTCAAACTCTGTTGGGGTGCTACATTGTCTGAGCAGCAGTAACCAAACAGAAGCAAGACTAATTGGGGAGAAAAAAATGGGGAAAATGAAACATAAGAGGGAAAGTTGAAGGAGCAAGACGTTCATTTTTATGCTTTGAAAACAAATTAAAGGACAATATGGTAACAATTTGCTAAAATATAAAAAACTGTCATGATAGGAAATAGAGAAAAATGACTTGCATTTGCTCCGAAGGACAGGGCAATAGATAATAAGTTTGAGATGCCAGAAGTTGAACTGAAGTTAAATGGTATGAAGCATTTCCAAAGAGATATTGAATTGACAAAAAAAAAACCTCACGAAATTATAATCAAGCCCTCTCCTAAAAACTGTTATAGCATCATAGAAGGACTATACGATCCGGAGAGGACAAAGTATACTAAAGACAGAACTACTGTTCCATCAAGATTCTTCTAGACCTCTTTTTTATTCCTTGCACTGTCCTTGAAGGAGCAGGTCCAAGGCTTGTGGTTACTTCTGGACTGGTGGTTCCTGCTAAAACAGCAGGTGCAGGCCATGACCAAGTTACAGCCTTGTCCAGCTTTGGCTGCCATGTCAACTGCAGCCTTATAGGGGATGGAAAAATCTGACCACAGTGGCTGCTGCCCTATTATCACCCTGTTGGGCTATTGCAACACACTGTACATGGGGCTGCCTTTAAAGACTACCTGGAAGTGTCCGTTGCTACAAAAAGCAGTGGCCAAGGTATTCATGGGTGTTTACCAGGGGGCATATAATGTGCCTGTTTTGGGAGATTTGTATTAGCTTCCTGTTTGTTGGAGAAGCATACTTGAGAAGCAGCTGTTGTGTCTTATTTTCAGGAGGGATGTGTGTCACTTGACAGTAGCCCAGTGGTTAGAGTGCTTAGTGGTTAAAGTATACTACAGGATACTTCTGCTGATTACCAGTTGCTAGCAGTTTGGCAGATCGAATTTCACCAGGCTCAAGGCTGACTCAGCCTTCCATCCTTCGGAGGTAGGTATAATGAGGACCCAGATTGCTGGGGGGCAACATGCTGATTCTGTAAACCGCTTAGAGAGG